TGATCACAGATTAAATTTCTTTGCTGATTCTGATCGTTTGACTTTTCTTTCTGTTCGTTTCGATTTGTATTGTATGGTTTAGGTCTTTTTTTTTGTTCCACATAAACCAATTGTTCTTCTTTATCACTGGATTCTTCTTCTTCAGAAGTTTCTTCAACAGTAATATAGTTTATACGTTTATCCTTTTTGACTTGTTGTGATTGTTGTTGTTGTTGATATCGAGGTTGAATATATGAATGCTTTTCTGAAAGGCAATATCAGATTATATGTCCTGCCTGTCCACATTTGAAACAGACTCTTGTATCATTTCCAGATGTATATGTTCCTGGTGTTGGAGTAGTATTGGACTGAAAGTATGGTTTGTTCCTTCTTTCAATTTTCGAGTTCAGGTTTTCAATTTGTTTTGCAAACTTGAGATGCATTTTTTCAAACTTCTGAACAAGTTCATCCATAGGATCACAAGAGGCTTCTTTGCTTTTGAATCCAAAGGTCTTTTCTGGTTTGGTTCTGATTGGCTGTTTATGGTTAATAAGGTCTTGACCATTTTCGTATTGTTGAGCAAGTAGGAGTGTAGCAGCAATATTGTTAGGTGCATTCATAGCAACAAGAGGTGCTACTTCTGGTTTCAATCCTCTAAAGAAGTGGCGGAGTTTTTGAGGATTGGTTATATTGTCTTCAAGATCTACTCGCTTGATAAGTTTTTTAAAGTCTATATAGTAGGAGTCCACAGATTCGGATGGGTCTTGTCTTCTTCCTTCCAAATCTTTAAGCCATTTGTTTTGCTATCGTTGAGTATAGAATTTTGCTTTAAAAGCAGTTTCAATATCTCCTGGTTGATAGGTATTTGCAGTGTAGTCAGATCCATTAGTGGTAATATAATTGGTTCACCAGTCATCAATTTCATCTTGGAAATAAGCAGCTAATATTTGCATTGCCTTAGTCTGTTTCCATCCATTTGCTTGTTTGGCTTTGATAAAGGCAGAAAATCAAGTTAAATGATCCTGGGTTCCATCTCCAAAGAAGGGTTCTATTTGAAGAATTTGATTGTTATTATTGGTCTTCAAGTAATCAAGTACAGTTTGTGTGTTTGCCATTGTATTTACTGAAGTATTTTCTTGAAATAGTAAATCTAAATTTAAATCTTCATAATTAAATAAGTAATTGATAAGGGAATTATCAAAGATAATAATAGGAGTATTTAAAATAGGTTCAGATGAATTGGAACTTGTATTTTCAAATAAATTATTATCAATAGGTTGTGTAGTAAAAGGGATGTTAAGGAAAGGGGAAGGTTCAATAATATCAATATCTGCAGGGTCAAAAACAAAATTGTAATAAATATTAAATACTTTGAAAGTTTCTTCAACAATTTTATCAAGATGTACAGGTTCAGTGTATCTAATAGATAGAATTAATTGTTCTATTCTATTAATATGGGGAAAGAAGTTACTAATGTGTTGAATGAAGTGATAATAGGTTCTAAACAAATATTGGGAAGCAGGAAAGGTAATATAAAACCAATTCCAAAAATGGGCAAAATAAAGATTGTAATTTTCGATAGGGGGAAAGCAAACAGTACAGAATTCGTCTGGTTGTCTTTGTTGGAGAGCCTCTTTAATTAATTCTGGATTGTTTAAATGTAACTGATCATGCAAATAGTTAATTTGTTCAAATGTTTGATAATTTATCATGAATTTTTTACCACTGATATTCTCTTTGTTAGACTTTGGATTCTCGAATTACAGTCAGTCTGTCACTGTAAATATCTCCAATATTGAACAAAGTTTTCACAGTCTTCTTTAAGATTCATTTCTTCACAATTTCTTCAAAGTTGATGAGCTGTATCTCACAGTTACCACCAATTTGTCATCTATCTTCCTATCTCAGAAGAAAGATATAGATGGAGAACTAATAGCAGAGAGACACTTTGTATGAATGGATCAATGTGATATGTTAAAGTTCATAAAGATATATTAAAATTAGTACAGTTCTGAGATATATGAGGTCAAGCAAAAGAGGCAATAGTGATTTGTTTTGTAAAGGTCAAGTTATTTTATTAATAAAAAGGAAAGTTCAACCTTGCAATTCCAGGAGGAATTGGAGGTATTTATATACATATTTTAGATATATGATTTAGTACATGATAAATATATGCTATGTGTACTATTTGAGTTATAAGATAAATACTATCTTTATCAAAACAATCTGCTATATGTGTTTTCATAGAGAAAAGTGCTCTGGTAGAGATGAGTAATTAAAGATAAATTAGAGAAATAAGTAATATTTTAGAGCAAGGATAGCATGAAAAGCATAGTGCTTGGAGATAGTAGATCAGTCATATAAAGATTATTCTAGAATAGACAATATTACAAGGGTAAATGCTATTAAAAATTGAACAAGGGTGATGAAGATCATTGAGCAAAAATCAAGTATAACAATTCTTTCCCACTAATTTGCAAGTTCCATAAGCAAGTTGTTAAATTAGAAAAGATAAATTCATATGAATAAGCTTCTTATACTATTCTCAAATTGAAAATTTCATTAATGTGTTGTTCTGATAATCAATTTCTATAATTATATAGCTAATACTCAAATATTAACAATGCTTAGCAAGATTTACTATGCTTGCCACATGATTCAAGACTTATATATTCAATATTACTTTTGTATTTACAACTGATATTTTCTTTGTTAGACTTTAGATTCACGAATTATAGACTGTCTGTCATTGTAAATATCTCCAATATTAAACAAAGTTTTCATAGTTTTTTCATACAATTTTTCTTTTATCAGCTGTCAATCAAGTTTTCCTTGTATTGTTTATCCAGATTTCACATATTAAATGATTATTTCTCCTAGCTATATTAGGTCAATCCATTCAAGTTTGCTTATATGCTTGTTTTTCTTAAATGATATACAGTAGTGAAGTAAATTTCAAGTTGCAAATTCATAATGGCAAAAAGTTCTTTTTGTTTCCATTAGTTTTTCAAATAATTTAATATTTAAGAATTGATTTTCATTCAAATATTGTTAAACTCCTCAAGTGCAAATTCAACTATCATTTTTAAAGATTTTTGCATATTGTTTGTCCAAGGTATCCAATTTTTTTGAATTATTTCTTTGTTTTAATATTAAGTACTGATTTTTCTCCTTTTTTTTTTTCTCATTTTAGATTTGTTATCATTATATCCAGAAGTCATTCCATTATTCGCTCCTCCAATAAAAATCCATTGGAAATTATAGTCAATTACTTGGAAGAGCATGCCAAATATTTGCAAAGATGTTTATGCAGGTCAGAACAAAAATAATCTTCTCTTGGAACAAAAGTTGGAAACAGTTTTAGAGAAAATAACTACACTTAAAGAAGAATGCACCAATCATTTGACTGTAAATCAAACTCGATCAGGTATAATTGGTGTCCTCTGATATCGTATTGCTGAACTTGAATCCAGAAATAAAGAATTAGAAAGAGAACTCCTTCGTTGCTAAAGAACTTCAAGTCCTAACACAAATTCCTGGGCTTACATGGGTGGTCCTTGGAAAAAACAATATTGTCTTCCATATAATAGAGATGCCATGCTTATTGGATATGAATATAAACTTAATCCAAACTGGGTGCGATTAAATCCTGGAAGAAATCCTAGGCCTCATTCTCTCAGTTATCAAGAAGAACAAGAAAGAAAGAATAATAATAACAATAATAATAATGTGTAAGATTTTGTTTTTAAATAAAGAATTATTTTTGGGTAAAACGGTTGCTATTGATAAGAAAAATGACACATTGGAGCTAGGGTTCTGACTGGTTATTTTGCTGTCATGTTTTTTTGTTTTATTAGGAAATCTTATATCAGCTTTTTTTAATCAGTCTTTTCGACTTTTGAATTCAATTAGAGGTTTACCTTTTTGACCTTGATGTTTTGTTCTGTTTAACCTAGCTTTATGAATTCATTACAAGAAATACAGTAGTCACTAAGTATGCTTTGTGGGCCGACTGTAATAAAAGAGGAGAACTTAATGGGTCCTCTTCATTACACTGTATTTCTTGCTTGCATTTTAGTTTTCAGATTTCTTTCTTCACTTCAAGGGTTCAATAATACTTGTGTTTGGGCAAGTTGAGGACTGGGCTATCATAAAATCTACATCCACGTCATATAGCCTGGGTGTTGTAGTTTATACAGTAGCTAAAGAATATCTCAAGATTTTAATGTTTCTTAAAAATATAAAAGTAATAATGATAATAAAATAATAAAGTATCAATAAAATTAAAAATGTTTTGTGAATAAAATAAATGAATATATTATTTGTATCAAAATGAATTGAAAGAATAGTATTAATCACTTTGATAATTTCATAAATGCTATAGCCTCAAACATTATCCTGCTACAATTTTGTGCTTCATGACTGACCAGCCTTTAACCAGTATATACTATGGATTCCTAAGAATCAAGGTCGTCTACAGCTATGTAATGACTTTATGAAATTACTCAAGCAAATAATAATATTTTCTCAAGTCTTAAATAAAGAAGTAAAATGATATATATGTTACTAAATACTAATAGAGTATGGGGATAATCAAAGGAATAACGAAGGAATTATAAAGGAATTATAAAAAGGGTAAGGATAATTAAAAGGGATAAGATAATTATTAACTTCACTTTTGTCTTTTTCTCTTGATGGTGCAGTATGGCTTGTTCTTAATAGAGTGAAATATAGGTACGTGTATGCTAATGGGTTTTGACTATATATGCTAACCATGTCTTTGTAGGTCTTGATATGGCTTCGTGGGAACAGTTGGTTAATTTGGCAGTGGAAACTTTTCCGTAAGCTTTTTTTTTTTTTTTTTTTTTTTTGTCATTATTTTCGTCAGTTGGCGGTTATAATAATCATCATTGTTATCATCCTTACCATGATGGTAGTATAATGTTGATGGTGATGGTTGCGATGTAGAATAATCTTGATGAATCGGGAAATAGTTGTGTTGATGAAGATTGTACCGACCTTTATCCAACCCATATGGATTCTCCTGAATAATCGTTAACTTGTGAATTGTGATCCTCAGTGCCAACAAATTCGTAGTCGGTGCTTGTGACTGCAATTGATTTAGTGGTGAAAATGCAATCGCGATCATGATTAGGATCATGATTACAGCCATGACAGCTTATTGGCTGCTTCAATGAATGCATCGTAATTCGATTTATTGGTGGGCATGATGTTGGACACAAATCTTTAACATTATTTTCAAAAATTGAACATTCAAAAGAAAGAGCTTGGTATGCATTTACATCTTCAAGTGTTTTGATCTTCGGGCTGTTATTGTTGTTAGGTAAGCGGTCTCTTTACATACGTGGTTGTTTTTGATTCATGTCTCACTTCATTCCTCTTCTTTGGCGTCATCATCTTCTTCATAATGGTGATGGCGTTGGGCACTGGCATCATCATCTTCTTTGTGATGATAGTAGTAGTGTTTATAATCGTCGTCATTGTCTTCCTCATGATGGTAATAGTATCATTATCATTGATCGTGATCATGATCGTGATCACGATTATGACAGCATTCCGGCAGAGTCTCTTATAAATTCCCGTAACCTGGCATTATCATTGGATATTCGTGACTGGTAAGTATTGTTTCCATGTAGTTTTCGTCATTTGGAATATACAACAATTCCTGACAGGTATAGTGAGCATGGTAAGCTAACGCCAGCTTATTTTTTTAACCCTTTAAGCTGTTGATATAATGGCATATGTAGATCCTCACGACTAATACCTTCAATACCTACTCGCACCATGGCATCTTTCCGGTAATCAAGAGAGAGTTGGGTATATTGCTTCTGATTATTTCCTTTCTCTTCATGTAGCATAACAAACTCAACACTAATCATTGCTATTATAATAAAAGCTAAACTAGGTCTCAAGAGAAGTACACGACTATTAAGCAATTCTGAGTTATATGAGTTCGATCCAGAAAAAGCATCATGAGATCTGTTCGTATAGCCACCAACATAATTTGCATAATTCACAGGTGGAGGTGGTCGCGAACCAAAATTCTCACTTGCTATAGAGCTGCTTTTGGGTTGCTAGACCAATAAATCATTTAACAATATTTGGAGTATGTTGTATAACAATATTTTTCATGAATGGGATCAATTGGTGGATTGGTAACTTGAGCGAAAGCTAACAGAAGTAATCATAGATTAACCGAAGTTGAACTGAAAGACAAGCTAAAGGTGGGTCATTTCTCATTTTCGTAATCATTAATGTTCTTTAATGCTTGCATCATTTTTATTGTTAAGATTTTGATTGTTTTCAATATTATTTAATAGTAACGTCTCTATGAATAGGGACTAGTCGGAGCATTAGACATTCCTTGCTGCTTTGATATCTTTGGGAATATATATGCATGCATATATATTCTAGGCATGCATTATCCAACTCATAAGATAATTAAACTTTTTCGATCTTGATCGTGATCATAATCATAATGGTATTTTGGCATTTTCAGTCGTCGGTCTTGGTCATATTCTCTCGTCTTGGTGTAATTCCGGTAAGTCACGATGTTTTCTTTCTTTTGCAGCATTCTACCATTGGCTTCTAACTTTTTCTTACCAGTCTTTTCCTAGCCCCATGCTTCATGTTCGATTCACCATCCATGGGTTCTCCTTGACCCTTGGCAATATCCATATCCCTGGCTTAGCTACCGGAGTCTCATCGGTAAGTTTTAATTTTTTGCCTTTGGTTCTTCGCTATTCTTTTTTTTTTTTCTGGACAGTCCTTTCTTTCTTTAGGAACTCGTCCCTTAATTTTTTCAATGTCGCGGCATTTATTCGTGATCGTTGGCACCCCGGTATAACCTACGGGACCAACGACTTGTTGAGAGATAAGCAGTTTCTTTTCTCTCTTTCTTTAGCCGTTCAGCTTCTTCCTGTAATTAACATTTTGTCGACACCTTACACATACAATATGATCTTCTCATGTGAAATTGTACGACTATCGATTTGAACATCATGTCCACAACTTCACTGCGAAGGAACAACGAATGCCTTCCGCCTTTAATCAACGTTAATCTGTAGTCTGGCACATTCTCCTCCATCCATTGCATTTTTTTTTTCTTCTCTTTTTTTTTTCTAAAATGGCAAATGCTAATTCGCTGTTTCTTATTCTTTGTGCATCGATCTTCTTACGATTGTATGGCATCTTGACAGTATCCTTGGAGCCGTCGTCACTTGACAAGGCAAGTTTCTCCCTTATGTTGGGTCGGTTGGAAGGCTTCTTTTGGATCACATAGTTTCTTTAGATAGGAGTGGCGAATTCCATTATTATGGCATCATTTATTCATTTAATAATAATTAATTTTTAGGGGGAGGTGCTTATACTACCGATCCCGTGATTGTTATTCTTTAGGCTTTACTTTTCTTCTGTGCAAGCCATTCCGGAGCTTCTATCGTTATATTTGAACTTCTTTTAGGTCGGGATGATGCTTTTTTATCTATTCAGCATATACCAGCAACTGAATTCTTCTTGGATAACATCGTTGGAGCGGAATTGGTCATTGTTTCTTGGATCGTCACAGACACAATGGCGCTTTCATTGCTCCTTAAAGATCGAACTTCCTCAGGGGCAATTTCTCAGGGGTGGCAATTAACAAGTGTTCTATTTTTGGGTCTTGATTGCCGAAATTGTGTTTAACAGATGAGATGCATCTCACAGTCACCACCAATTTGTCATATATTTTCCTACCTCAGGAGAAAGATATGAATGGAGAACTAATAGCAGAAAGACACTTTATATGGATGGACCAATGTGATATACTAAAGTTCATAAGGGTGTACTAAAATTAATACAGTTCTGAGGTGTATAAGGTCAAGCGAAAGAGGCAATGGTGATTTATTTTATAAAGGTCAAGTTATTTATTAATAAAGAGGAAAGTTCAACCTTGCAATTCCAGGAGGAATTGGAGGCGTTTATATACATATTTTAGATATATAATTTAATACATGATATGTATATGCTATGGTATAAATGTAAGCTAAGGTATAGATACTATCTTCGTCAGAATAGTCAACTGTGTCATCTGTTACATAGATGAATACTTTGGCGAAGATAATACAAAAGGTAAAAATGAAATAAAATAAGAATATTCTAGAAATGGTAAATGTGCAATATGTGCAATATGTACCATATGTGCCGAAGGTACAATAACAGATCTGTAATACAAGACTATTCTAGAATGGACAATATTACAAGGGTAAATGCTACTAAAATTGAACAAGGGATAGTGAAGATCATTGAGCGAAAATCAAGTATAACAATAGTTTGGCAAATCTTGGTGTCAACTTCTTGATAGGATAGTTTCGATCCACAGGATTGTTAAAGTTCTATAGGAATAGTAATACTTGGTCTCCTTTTTAAAACGTTAGATGGTATTGATATTGATTGGCATATTTCGTTTGGCAGTCTTATGCTTCCATCAAGATATCTTTAGTGATCTTTATCATAATATTCCAGTAATACATGAAGTTATTGATGGTCGGCACAGAGGTTGATGTCGCAAATGTTAAGGGTGTCTTGGGATGTTGTTTACAGTCTAACTCGAAAAGTGTAAACCCTGTTAATGCTTGCTTGGCATTGTTATATACGAACTCGGCAGTAGGCAAGTACTCATCCCATTGGTCTTACTTGTAGGTGATATATATGTGTAACATTTCTTCCAGGATCCTGTTGAGACGTTCTGTTTGTTTATCTGTTTAAAGATGGAATGCTGTTGACATAGTGGTTTTTGTATCCAGTTGTTAAAATAGGATTTGCCAAAAATGTTTGGTAAATCTAGCATCTTAATTCAACACAATGGCTCTTGGTAATCCATGATGTTTAAAAATTTAAGAGAAAAAGATCTTGGCAACTTCCGGCATGATGGCAGAGATATGCATTGGACAAAAGTAGGCTCTCTTGAATAGGCAGTCAACAAATACAACAATGGTATCATGTTCTTTCTTGGTATAAGGTAGTTGAATGATGAAATCCATGATAACTTCTTCCCATTTGTGGTTCAGTATTGGCAGAGGTTGTAGTAGTCTGACAGGTTATTGATTGCTAGGTTTGTTTAATTGACACAGGTCACATGTTAGTACATATTTTTATATGTCTTTACTCATCTTGGACCAATAGTAACTTCTCATGATGGCATTCAGGGTCTTGTCAATACCCGGATATCCGATAATGTCAATGTTATGGTATTCCCTAAGGATATAACTTCTCAACATCTTATTCTTAGGAATGGCTAAGTAGTAGTCTTTCTTCAGATAGATGTGATCGTCATCCAATTTGAAATATTTAGCACAGGTTTTGTCTTCTCGGTGGCTTGGGTCGGGTCTCTCAAGGTTATCAGAATTTTAAAAAAATACTTGTCGCTAGTATATTCTTCCTTAAAGGTTTTGTCATCTGCTAGTCTGGTGGCAAGTATAGAAATAGTAGCTAGGTGTGACTGTCTGGAGAGGGTGTCTGCTACAATATTAATCTTTCCTGGTTAGTATACTACTTTGAAATCATTGGCTTGGAGGGTCTCTAGCCATCTGGCTTGTTGTCTGGACAAATTTGATTGGATCTTGATATATTCAAGAAGGTATGGTTAATGATGACAGTGAAATGTTATTCTTTTAAATACATGTGCTAGAGTCTGATAGCATACATTATAGCTAATAGTTCCTTCTTATGCACAGAGTAGTTTTGTTTGGCTGGGGACAATTTCCTAGAGTCGTATGTGACTGGCTGTTTTTTTTTTTCATGGTCTTAAGTTAGAACAGCTCCAATGGCAAAGTTAGAGGTATCCATAGTAATAGTGAAGGACTTATTTGAATCAGGCAAGAGCAAAACTGGGGCCGTAGTAAGGGCTTCTTTAAGTTTTTCAAATGCTTCTTGTTTAGCAGAATTCTATACAAATTTCTTGTTCTTGTGCAGGAGGGTGGTGAGAGGGATGGCAAGAGCAAAAAATCCTTGAACAAACTTTCTGTAATAACTTGCTAATCCTAAAAAGGATCTGACTTCTGACACATTGATAAATACCAGCCAATTCTGAATAGTAGTGATCTTTCAGAAATCCACAGTGATTTCTTTAGCAGAGATGTAGTGCCCAGTATATTTAATTTTGAGTATAGCAATTCACACTTCTTGGTCTTGGCATACAGTTGGTGTTGTTATAGAGTGGTCAAAATAGTTTTTAGATGTTGCAGGTGGTCTTCTTTGATTTTGCTATAGATCAAGATATTATCCAGGTACATGATGACAAAATTATCTAGGTACTCCCGGAAAATATCATTTATCAGCATTATAAACGTTGCGAAGATGTTGGTCAATCCAAAAGATAATACAAGAAACTTGTAGTAGCCATATCTGATTCTAAAAGCAGTTTTTGGTATATCTTCCTCCTTGATATGGATTTGATAATATCCGGAGTACAGGTTGATCTTGCTGAAGTACTTGGCTTCAGCCAACTGATCCAT